CAAAACTTTCTAATCTCTAGTAATTCTGGCAAATTGAAAATGTCACACATTAATGAAATTCAAGTGTTTTACGTAATCAAAAACCTTATCTCCTACATAAATTGAAAGAATTCACATGAACCCCTATTTGGTCCTAATTTGTCCTACTAGACCTGCCTCGCTAGTAGAATCAATTTATCTTCACAAGTCCTCGAAATCGAGAAGGTTGCTTACATTTTTTTTCATCGGGGTTCCTGATGCTTACCAAGTGTTCCAGCGAGTGCCCATCTTTCCCTTGTAGCAATCTTAGATCCTGTTCAAGGAGAGCAGTTCATAATGATTTCGAGATGCCTCGACCGTAGAGTCGTGGATACCTTCGGATTACTCGGAATCAGCTAATGAACTGTTTCGCTGCAATCATAATTACTTACTGAGAGTTCCTCGCTCCTTTTAAAGCGATTACCTCGACAAATGCGGATTGTTTTTGTTCGCTGTGGGAGCTCAAACACCGGATTGCTCTTGAAGATCGCGTTAATCACGCAGCTATGAGCTCTTAACCTTTGATATCCTATTTAGAGAATATGAGCTCAATCGCGTGATCCGCTATTGGGATTATGTGAACGGGTGACTCAGAGAAAAGAATGATTTGAAGATAAGGCGAGGTTATAGGCATTATTTGGCTTCTCGAAAATGAGTGAAGGCGATAACGGTTGTGAGTATAATGCAGTTATATGGTATTGCGATCAACAAAACTTTGTTATGAATAGGAAAGCAAAGTATACTTCAATCACTGTGATGGAGGAACTCATTTATGGCCAGAGAACCAAAAAGCAGTGATCAACAAGCAAATTTGTTACCTTATGCAGTGCTTGGACGAGTTGATTTCTGAGCGAAAACAAGCTGCCCAAAATTAGTCCTCGAAAACACCAAGCTCAATTTGAACTAGAGTAATTAATGGATCCTGAGCAGTTGAATAGTAATTGCTATAGCAAGAATGTTTCAGTCTGAACCTGACTATGAAAGCTCTGCTTGCATTAGTCCTCTACACTGGCTACCTGCTTCAACTATACAGTCTCTCTACGAGTCTTCGACCATTAGTGCTACGTCTTATACAACGAAAATCAGCTGAAAACAAACGAATGACGACTCTCATCGTTGACTATGGACTGAGGAGTGGGATTGTTTTCGTTTCATGTGCGTACCACTGTGTTTTCATCCTTATATTAACGTGCATCTATCGAAACTTAGATACACATCAAAATTGCATCCCTCGATGAGAAAAGGTCAGTGTTTCCGAGGCCATTTATAAGGGATAAGCAAATAGTGAAAAAATCTTCTTCTGTTCTGAACCTGGGTGACTCAGCGATGACTTGCACCGAGAAAGGGTGGGCGACGAGAACAACTGCACGGTCGCGGACCGGGGAGGCTGCGACGCAAATTGTAATACATATTTGAAGGCGGGGCAACCTCTGGAGGCGTTGCGACTCGGCTACGGTGGCGTACTTCAGTTGTATTTGTAATAAGAGCTAATCGGAGCACAAGCGCTTTCTTACCACCCCGCATTAGTTCTTATTTTCGATTTAAACCTTCGTGTTCGTCACAACTGATTGTAGTTTACTTGGGAGCAAGATCTTGTGGACCGCCACATACGCCAGGTGTGTTTCGCGCAGTGTAGAAGTAAACATCGAATTTCCAGTAGGTTATTAGGGGATTTGCTACGAAACCAATGTGTGCATGCCTGCGAGTGTGAAATTTGGGTGCAAACGCTCGCTGTAAGTTTAACACATCGACCCCAGAGAGTTGGTTTCACAACACCAAAGCTGCATCCCTGCTAGAGTATAACTATCTGAAGTTCCATTTGGGGCGGAAGCCAAGTTGCATTGTGCTACAATTATTCTATTACCTTGTGTTCATCATAAATATTGTGGCAGAAAGAGCAGTGAAGGAAGTTCCAGCTTTTCACACTTCCCAGGTAAAATTAGTTATGCGGTGCTCCTCTTGGGAAGCTGGAATCGGTGTCAAGCTAGGAATGTTCTTCCCATCATACAGAAAACCTCACACATATGTGGTCTTCCGATTCACTTCTGACATTGTAGACTAGCTCTGATTTTACCGAAAAGAAAAGAGAAAGAGCTACGTGCACACCGAATCCATTGTTTCACATACCAGTTTTCAGTTCTACTTGCTGTGGCCGTGCCGAATCTCGAAAATTTGATACCTTTGATCGGAATAACCTCAGGTGAGCATCATAAACTATTCTTTGCACTGAGAGAGTGAAACAGTACTGCGCCCAACACGCGCAATTCGAGCGGCTGTTTTATTAGCTATGGTAATCAAAATAACAAAAAAAAATTGATTCCGCTTACCTACATATCTCTATGCCTTCAAAAGGGCTTGCCCGAGTGGCATTTTAAGAATTTGTGTTAGACCTGGAGCTCTAAAAAAACAATAGTCACCATCCCAGTGCTGCTGAGCATTCCATCGTAGGCTGATCCATCAGCTTCCTGGTTTGGTGTTAAGCAGCAAACGTGAATATGTCTGAGGAGGAGCAAAACATGACTGAGGCAAACAAATGACGAAAAATTCTTTTTGATGCTACAGTGCGGAAAATCGGTAGCATTCAATGAACATAATCAGAATATTATTTTTGCAAAACATCAAAAATACTAATGAGGTAAACAGTTTCTGCTTGATCTGATCAGCAATGTGTTACGGTATGAAAATATGATCAACATGCGCCGCTAATTGATGACTCCTTCCATGGCTTTTTTGTGACTAGAGTTAGGGACGACTGGTAGAATCGCAGTAAATTCACATTTTGCGTTTTAGATTACGGTCGGAGGCTTGGGGATAAGGGTATATAAATAGACAACAGAGGTCGCATTCAGTTTTAGGAGGTGTTGTATTTTTGTTGTTTCGCTGATAGGCACAACATCAAAAAAAAGTCTCCATCGGAAACGAAATAGGGGAGCAGGCAGTTAATAACCAACCATTCTCGACAGCAAAGTATATCCCACTGCGGATGGCGGAGTAGAGGACCTACATGATAGCATGAAAAAAGAGCCGTTCCAGATATTTCTGATGATGAGAAACCACGAAGAGAAGAACAAATATCCGACAGGAGTAGGATTAATACGGTGTCAATGAATTCGAGAATGTTTCCCCAGGAATGTACGTTGTGATGCAAAAAATTGGAGATGTCAGTAGCAGCAGCTATATAGAATGGCATCGAAATGAAATCTGCAATTAAATGTCTATCCGATAATCACGGAATGAATCAAATTCTTGTATGATAGTACGATATATACGAGAAGATTTTGAGATTGCTCCAACATGAAAACACGACAGGAGTCAAGACTTGAAGTCTCCCTTATAAATCTTTCAGCAGTTTATCAATCTCATTCCGTAGATGATTCCCGTATTTACCATCAACTCAGGATCTTGACAGGGAGGGTGTCAACTCCTCATGAAACATTTAACTAGGTATATCGATAGGGTTCATGGTGCTGTTTGTGGTTATAGAAGGCAAACTTGCTGAGGGAGTTCTCTGAAAAAGTTATAAGCCTTCAAATTTCCTTAGAAAGAGTTTCTGATGCTCGCATCACATCAAGCGCCCGGATGGCCCTTAATGTACAACCCGGTGCCTTTATCTCAACAGATGAGTTTGGCTCTTACTAATCAAGCCCGAAGAGATAGAAGGTTCGGTTGGCCTACGCAGATGCCGGTCGAGGATTCCATGATAATATTATTCCATGATAGATACGATAATAGCACCAATACGGGATGCCAGCTTCACTCATGAGAATGCAGTGTTAGAGTAACACAAAAGCAAGGGCGAATTGAACTAAACGAGGCACGAGCATGTATAATAGTTTGGGACTGTGGTGGTAGGGTACGTTCAGTGTGAATCACTGAAGCAGCTCTGTCTCCATCCTGCGTGAATTTCATTGTTTGACCATCTAGAGCTAAACAATTTCCCGTGATCGTTATTGGGCATAGACCATCGAATACTTAGCATGAGTTGATTATGCAATTAATTATATTTTTGCATAATATGCAGATGATGAGGAGTAATACTTCTGATGTTAAAATTCTTAAATATTACAACGAATTCCAACATCATTCGCGTCGTCTGCAATGATTCTGGGTTCACTTGTAAATGCTGGTAGTTGCGGAAAAATGAGAGTGTTCATGGCTAACATTATTATGAATTCATACTTTTCAGGTATGCTGCTAGCATTGGTAATACCGCCACTTGCCGACATCGCAACTTTTCTTCCTGTATTTTTGGAAGAAAAACGATTTTGTCAAATAGCATTTTTGATAACAAATAATTTATTTTTCTGTGCTATTGGCATATTTTTCTTAGTTTCCGGTTTAGAGACCAATTTGAGGCGTTTATTCTCATAGATGATAATTGTGATAGAAGGTACTGTATGATGGGTAGTAAATTTACAAAATAAAGATCTAACAGAAGTGATGCTTCAGAACAGAAACCTCCTCATTTATAATCTCTCAAATAGATTTCGCTAATGTATTACTGAAAATCACCGTCACCACATTATGAATTCGACTTCGTTGTGTTTTTTGCCGGTTCACGGAAGGATGTTCAAGTGGCACATAAAAGACCAACAAACCAATTTTTCCAAAGGTCTTCGGTTCCGCACAATTGATTTCCGTAATGGAGTTGGCGGTTATGTTTTCGTGCTTTGAAATGTTTTGAAGTAGTAGACACTCATAGGAAAGTGCAGAACAGTGGAAAAAACAATGCAATTACTTTCATAGATGGTCTTGCAACGGATTCCTCTCACTGACCCAGACAACCTTCGTCCATGAAATTCCGCTGCTGAAAGGTATCAAAGAAAGGTTGTTCGGTAATTCGGGTCCGGGTAGGTAAGCTCACTCCCCGGAAATGATTTACCATCAAACACGAACAAAATAAAAACAGTATGAGAATGATGACGAAAATGTCATGACGTCCATGCTCATTCTTTTCGTAACATTCTTCAATGCTCAAACTAATGAGGATGGTATTCGATGGAAAGGCTAGAAGGGAGACAACTCCGACAGAAACCATTGCATTCAGTATTACAACAGCAATCGTATCAGAGAAACCTCAAGGCAAGGAGAGCATAGGACCCATCAGAAAATAATGAAGCACTTTTCAGTACTATGGCTGTCTGATTTGAGCGGATCTGAATCTGCAAGTGGTTGCGCTTGGGTATTCAGATCCTTTGGTAGAATTTTGCCTCGGTTGATTGGTATACCGCCTAACTAGAAATCTATGTACAACAGCTTTGCCAACTTGAGCCAACACTCCTTTTACAGATGCTAAGATGCATTCGAAAACGTAGATTGAGAGTTGTACTTGGAGATCCGGTCATGCACATTGGGGTGTCTGACTTTCTTGCAAATTTTCAGAAAAATGTCGCGTTTGAGTGTTTGTTTCGTGTGATCAGGGTGCAGAGGACAGTGAGAAAAATGCTCTAGACAGTAGAAACCGGCCGCGACTCGATTCATGTTGGTTGAGGTGTGTGAAAGTGCCCTCACTGTATAACTAGGAAATCGCCCTGGGACTGATTAGCAGTTTTGATGACCGAAGTGTGTCGTGTTGGAATGCGTCCCCACATCCGACGCCTAGTAGAAACTGTAATGGCAGTTTGAACGGGTATTCGGTCTTCACAATGACTTGTGTGTCCAGTCCATAAACAAATCAGTGCTTCTATACTCTATCCTGCTTGGATGAGTATTAATCCAGGGATGTGCGATCAAAGACTCACTCCAACCTAGCTTCAGGTTCTATACGATTCAGAATTCTATACATACATACGTGAACACAAAGGGCACCCAAAAGCTGGGACCCATCCGTAATAAAGGTTTGCCCAAACAACGACCACACAAAACTGTCATTAAATACTTCCAACTATAAATATACTTCAAGCCTCACTTGGTTTTAGGTACCACTTCTCCAACTATCAATGATTTTGGGTAAATCGTTGTTATTTACGAAATAAACAAGGAAAAGTAGTTAAATGCATTTGCCCACATACTAATGATACATCAAGCATTAATCATCATTGTCAAGGATCGTTAAGTAGTTCAGGTGAAGTACCACAAATCGCATGAATGTGTCTCCTTATATCCGCTCACTAATCCGCTTCTTAAATGGTCATTGGCACGAGGCAGAAGCTGAGTAATGGTAAATTGAAAGGAACACACGACTTCTAGGAATACAAGATTAACGGATTGGAGAGGAATGGAAGCATTAAAGCATGTAGGTGTCCTTTCAGCATAGGTACTCACCAAGGACTTCCATGTTACACTGCTGTGAAAAAATAAGGGGATCGCGATGGCCTAAAGCATTAACGACTGGATGGAAATAAATGAATGTGTTTGGAGCATATTGCTAGGCGTATAGCGGTTATGCTTAGGGAACTAGACTTCTATCAATGGAAGAACACCTTAGTCATCTGGTAACATCACACGAGGAAGGATCATCGGGAAAAAATTAGGGACGAGATGGATAGGGTAACAAAAACCGGTGAAAATGTAGTCGGGGGGGGGGGGGGGGGGGGNAAAATGTAGTTGGAGGAGGGGGGGCACCCTTCGCGTCTTAATGTTGACGTGTTAGTTCAGGTCAGTCCACAGGTTCTTACCAGTTAGTCGACGGCTATTCTTGGAAGTGTCACGCTGTATTATATCAACACTAACAACTCAAACCAGCTTTACTTTTTTGTATTTCATTGTTAATTTTTTTTTATTCGTTTCATAACGTTAGAATCTCGTCCACGCTGGTACTCCTCTACTCCTAAAGCATAGGAAGAGGTAGTTTTCTTTTTTTCAGCCATAAATAAATAGAAAAATAAAAGGCTTTAATGCAATTCAACTCACATGAATATTTGCTTCTGCTTATTGCACATATTTAACACCTTCACTTTTTCACATTTTTTTGGGATCATGCAGAGAATAATGAATACTTGCTTGAAATTGCAGAAAATACTTCTCTAATTTTTATGACTTCACGCGTAAAAATCTTTTCTGCAATCCAAGTGGAATTGCAATTGCTTCGACTTTCCAATCCCAGGTGAAATTTTCTACGGAATTTTTTTGTCTTCTCTAGTTCCACATGATGCTTTGCTCATGTAATAAATAAATGAATAAATTTGCACTTTTCTACTTTGGACGAGCTAATTGTGCTTCATTATTTCTGAATATTTTTAGTGGAATCCAAGAGAAATCGCGAAAGGTTCTAAATTCTTGGCTAGGCTCATCCCAATGCTGCTCCTCATTCCATCTTCACGGAGACGGTAATGTGATGGGCACGATAGACCTTTCTCACGCATTATCTTCACTATGGAGAAATTAGTGCAGCTTCAAGCCCTTGAATTTTGATGAATTGTGTGATAGTTGAGCGCCATTGATTATTTTATCTTATTGCTTCAAAAATTACGTCATCGGTTCAATAGTGTGGAAGCAGCATATGCTTCAGAAGAGCTTCAAAGGATTCATTTTCAGTCAAGAAGGTGCGCTCAGATATGACGATCCATTCTGATCCTTCGTACCCATAAAGCAGAAAGCGTGCAAGAGATTTCATAATCTTGTTTTTTTGACCTCTGGTATACAGGAGCATCCCTTCAGGGGTCGGAAATGGTCAGCTCTGGTTTTATCCACCCAACAGTGTCTAGCAACATAGAAATCGGCAAAACCCTATGTCAAATGGAAGAAGTGTTTCGTTAATTTTATCCCAGAATCGTTTCGCAGACTTGGAATGTGAATTTGACATCAGACATCAAAAACAAATATGTAGGCATACGTCCCAGCTTGTCCTTCCCTTGTCAGTGGCGTAGTTTCCGCGCTCCAATGCGCCCACTCATGAGCGCGAGAATTTATATTTAAATATAAGTTTGCGGAAAATCATAACGTTCGAACCTGAACTTAGCAAGTGTTAGTTTTATTTTTATCCTATTCTTTTCTATACGAGTGTCTTTTATGTGAATATCTCACGGTTACTTTATAAGATCACTTTGTAAGTTTAGTGTAATGGGAGGAAAGGCTGGCAACACTGCAGCTAGTACAACGAGCTCTTCCTCTTCGGCTCAGGTAACTAGAACAACGGCGCTAGATTTACTTCGAAAAGCTGATGATTCGCTAGCGTTGTTGGCAAGGAATAATGGCGAGAATAGGTAAGCTCGGCTAAATCAGTGCACCCTACATTATGAAGCCCTTAATGGTTTTGTCCTCAATGCTTTAGTCGCAGAGATATAACTTCTCGATTACACGAAGAGAATTGGATTCAATTAGTATTTGGGGCCATGAACGACTCTAAGCCCCCACTCGCTGAGTTACGCTTTCTCAGTAGAGTTTTCGAAAAGATAGTCGACTTCGTTATATCAGGTACTCGCTTTGCTTTTCCTCTAATTATTTTGTTTTGTGTAATTGAAGATACTTAAACAACGTTATTTAGATCCGTCCTGTGTGGTTGAAGACGCTGCGAAATCTGTACTTCGTAATCAAAGAGCGGATTTCATTAGATTTCTAAATGAGNCGAAAAGATAGTCGACTTCGTTATATCAGGTACTCGCTTTGCTTTTCCTCTAATTATTTTGTTTTGTGTAATTAAAGATACTTAACGTTATTTAGATCCGTCCTGTGTGGTTGAAGACGCTGCGAAATCTGTACTTCGTAATCAAAGAGCGGATTTCATTAGATTTCTAAATGAGCTCTATAGTGCAGAGATCGTTTTCTACGGTGCATCGTTGTGGCTTGCATATTGCAAACTGACTGTGACGCTTTTTGGAACAAAGGTTCGTTTAGTTAGGCAGAATATCGCGTTCACTCATCAGTTCCTCGAAAGCCATTATGTGAATGTTCTGGTAATTCTGTCAGTCTAACCAATCTAATTAGTAATGGGAAGGAATCGGAACTGTATGTAGTTCTTGTCCTACACCTTTGCTTACAGATGCCAGCTAAAGATTGGAACGATTTCTTTACTACTATGGAAACTTGGTTCAAAATTTCTGATAGAGAAGCGGTGGTAATCTGTTTAGGAGCTTGGACTTCATTCATCAGTTTCGTCGCACCGAAGCTAAGCAGCGGTGAGGAAAACTGATAGTCATTAGTACTTCATAGGTTCTAAGCCTTTTACTTGAAGGTGTCTTGCGAGACAAACTTTTTGCAACATTTTCAAAACCTCTGCGATCTCATGCTGTCATAAACAAGTTGCCTACACCAGCACCTATAATCTCTGCATATACTGCTCTAATCACCTCGTCTCCTTCCAGTGTTGATGAGAGATTCGAAGAGGTAATCAGTTCTGTGGCTTCGACGACACTCACTAGCTTTAACAGTTATATTTTTCAGCTAATCGTTTGCTTCCTATGCTTCTTGGTTGGCAAACCTGTTGTGGCGTACAAAGATGAAAAGATAATCGAGGCCGAGATAGCCAAGCCGGTCCAGGAAAAAAGCTTTAATCTTGTATTGAAAGGAGCCAGCACGGATTTTTCAGAGTTCGTTTTCTCTACATATTTTCCCATCCTTTCCGAATGTTTAGTTCAGTACTAGGAACTGGATATATACAACTTCTTGATACTTTTCATGATCAATGTAAAGTAGAGCGTCAATATCGTATTTAGCTATCTCACTGATCCACGACCTCATCGAGTTTTTAACAATGGTGCACTGACGCACGTATTTCCTCTGATTTGTTCAATTCTCGGAGCTGCGAATTCAAGAGGAGGTGAGTCTATTCTGATCATAAAACTAATCTGTATGTCTTTTCTATTGTATTTACTATGGCAGAGATTCCTGTATGTGCTAATGCCCCGGATTTGATGCTAAAGTATGGCGTTTTCCTTGGTCAAGTTGTGCGCATTGCTGGTCACGAAGCTATTAGTGGTGAGCATGTGTTTCCAACTCACAGAAGTTTTGTTTTTGTATTTAAAAATTCATGTTCGCATGATAAACGATTTTCCACTCCAAACAAAACAGTTCCGCACAAAGTAATTGCAGCACTATAGGGAGAAGTTTGAACGCACTTTTTTCTCTTCTGCGGCTTCTCAGAATCGGCCGCCATATACGCAGTCAAACAGTGGAGCGTAAATCGTTGAGAAGATGTGGGAACTGCAATATCACATCTTCTATAACTTGGCAAATTTGAGTGCCCCAAGCGTAAATACTTGCTGTGTTAATGTGAAGCTTGTGCTGACATGGATAAAATTAAGGGCAGTGCGTTGGTTGATCAGAAACTAGCTATTCAAAGTGGGGGNAAAAAAAAGGATGAAGGATGGTGTGGTGCCGCGTACCCGTGAACGAATTTCCTTAGGAAACAGCAAATTGTATGGAAAAACAGCGATTCTTGAAGAGGCGCAGCAGGCTCGAGAGAAAATTGGGGTTACCTTACTGAAATAAAAGTAGCAAGTGGTATGGTATTCAAAGTGATGGATTTCAGAAGCTGACGCGAACTCGATATGCTCTTGTTTTGCTGAATTAGGCCGTCGAATTGAAGCCATCGAGGATGCTGATGCACGGCACAGGGAATCGCGATTTCTTTTCATTCAGATACGCGCTTGGATTGGTGAGAGCCGTAGGAAAGTCGAAGAAATAGAGGTGATTTCTATTAAATTCTTCTATTGTATCATTGATTTTCGAGTGGATATTTTTAGGGTGCCCTTTGTCAACTATTTCGAGCTCAAAATCTATCCATCCATGCAAACTCAGTAGGAGAGTGGCCAGCACTGAATTTACTTAGAGCCATGCTAGAGAAATCACCAGCTAAGATCAGGCGAGCTACTTTTGCTCCTTCCTTTCGACATATCGTTGTTAATGTATCTGATTATGAAATTCTCGCGAGATGGGGTCGATTTTTTTATAACGCGAATAATAGAAAGTCATTTGTAGTGAATTCCTCGAAATCATCCCTGGAACCCTTTGTGGTGGGCTCGAGACTGATGGCATTGTTTTGGAACGGCTCAACCATATCTGCGGTGTCGTAGAAGAGCACATTAATGTTTTTGATAAGCAGTCAGTACTCAAGACATGGTCACAGCTATCTGCACTATTGACCGATTTTATTAAAAAGGTGGGTTGCAAGCACCTTAACAAGCGATGAGCGGTAAGTGACATTTCAAATCTAGAGTTGATGAAATTCACTTTTGTTTTCATTTTCATTTTAAAATCGAAATTTCTAGTTTTTTCAGACTGACGATATCAACGAGGGTAACTTGTTGAAACCGAATTTTTCTACCACGTTCAAGCTTCTCGCATTACTTTTCAAAATTGCGAACCACGTGGATGAGGTCTGTTGTGGAAAACATAAGCATTTGGCAGCTGCAGATGTTTTTTCATTGTGATATCAATTCAGGATGTAAGTGTGGACATCATGAAGAAGTGCTCAACAGAGTTTAGTAGACTTTATGCGGAGGTGCAAACCACTGTGAGACATGAGGTCGACTGCAGAGCTGAGACGGTTCTAAATGGTGTTTTCGGCTCCACTGCAGCGCCTGAAACGGTTCTTCAAATTCGTTCTTGCAACTGACCGTTTAAAAATAAGGCCGACTTGATGTTAATGAGCAGTAAACTGCAAATAAGTTGATCATGTACAATTTTCAGATATGTTGTTTGCATATGTTCACCGCTGCATTGTCTGATATTGTCGATATCTACCCATTCGAATCTATAAGTAAAAAGGAAGTTCATTTCGGTAAGCTTACACAGGCACACTGGAGACTGAAGAAATTGAATTCAAAGCAAGACTTTTACTTTAGGAAACTCATTGGAGTTCAACGCACTCGGAGAGTTGACAACTTTCGCGAATGTGATACAGTCGCTTGGTGAAAAACTTATACGCATAATTAATGAGGATAAGGTATGTTTTTCTTACAAACGAGCTCTGCAATTACAAGTCCACTTCCTAATGGTGGTAACTTTGTACTTCAGACTGAAAAACTTCCCCGTACCATATATGGCGACTTCCTTGCTCTCCTTATCATTTGTCAAAAATTGTTTGCGGCAATACAGGAACCGTCTTTGGTGAGAATTGAGATGCATTATTGTTTGCGGCTACTTATTCAGATTTTTACTTTTTTATAGATCAGGGTCTTATTTACTACGTTATGTGGTATGTTGGGCGAAATGCTTGGCAAGATCTATGGAGATGATTCACGCTTGAAGGAAATCACTCCAAGTTCTTTGACTGCTTATTTAGAGGTCAGCTGAACTACGATTCAGTAAGAACATGCAGCTAGAAATCCCCTTGAAAGTTCTGTTCAGATCGTGGAGAACGTAAAAAGCAAAATCACGGGTCCTTTCGATGATGGTCTCTTGTCCGATTGTGCCCCGCTATTGACGAGATTGTTAAGTGGCCGCCGTGGTAGATTTTCAAAACTGCGCACAGCTTCCTGTGACCTATGGAAAAACACATTTGCGAAGGCGCAATCGCTGACCTATCCGATGGAACTGAGGCAAGAATGCAATTTCAATTGATCTTTTAGTAGACAATTTTTTCTTTCATATGTTCAAAAGTCACTAATAATCTCCATTCTCAGGAATGTCCTGCTGCCTCTCGTCCAGAAACGAGTTATCAGCGTTCCTGGGTTTTTCAAAGTTGACGAGTCCAGTGGATGTGCTCTCTCTGGCGACGAAGATGCGTCGTTCAGTTCGGTGAGGCTTGAGTAACTGAGCATCTTTTGAGATCGCTGAACACGCTTGCGCCTGTTATTTTGCTTAATGTCACATTTTTTCGGAGAAAAGGAGGTCCCCTGCACGCCAATTGAATATTTCATGATTGTATTACTTTGCAGCAGACTTCGAGTGCATCGCAATCGAGTTCTCGTCCTCGTAGGACAAGGAGATCTGCAAAAATCGAAGAAAATTCTGAACATTGCGAAGTCGTTCTTCATAGCTACACTCCTGTAGCTGGTTCGAGTTCTCAGATTGGAAAGAGGAGGTGATTGATATGATTGAAATCAATATGTCTGCTCTAGTGGCCACGATTCTCCTTGATCATTAATGAGGTTGCCGTCACTTGAGTCGCTTTAGAGAGCGTGTAACAGAGTGAACTTTCAATTTCTAGAAGTCAAGTCAATGCCAATACAAAGGAAACAAAGGTACCTAAGAGGGAATCCATCGCTATGGAGAAAAGTGACGGAAAACCCAGGAATGTCGACTCCAAAGAAAACCTCTTTGCTGAGGTACAGTTCCAGTATCCTTTTCCAGAAGCACATGTAACAGCGAATTTTAGTCTCGCAAACCAGAAGAAATCACTCCCTCCCGTCAAATAGCTACACCACGAACTAAACGAAGGATACGTGGTGGCCTCCTCGACGAAGACTCTGTTGACTATGTACCTATCGCCTCCAGCGAATCAGCCAAGAAGATGAAACTAACTGATCGGCAGCGAGAGATGTTCAGTGAAAAGAGGTCTGTTCCGCATTCATGCATATTTATTCATCCGTTTCTCTGCACTAATCCGCTGGAATTGAACTGCGCCGAGGACATCGCTTTCACCATCCTGTATTCATATCCTTATCAATTTTCACATTTTTACTAGCTATTATATTTCCACTTTCTAATCAGCTTCTAATCAATTATAAATTGATCTGCGAACGGAATGTGACTCAGTTTTTAGGGGCTTGGCAGATAACAAATTGAGAATTTTTCTTTTCACTTTTCCGCGGGAAAAGTTCCTCACTGGAAAAGATCTTGGCCCAAGAAGTTCAGTTCCATCCTGTATCATTTAAAGCAGATTACCAGACTTTCAATGCCCCGAGGCCCTTTTTTGTGGCTCTCCTCATATAATCGGTTTGAGTTCTCTGATCGGAAAGCGCCTGGCTTGCATAGTATTGTGTGTTAGCCCTGCTGTCTTGCCTGTAACAAATCTGATGTGTGTAGGTGCTAAGAGAGGACTGCTTTTTGTACTTTCGCACTGAATATCTTTCTGGCTTGCTTGTGGCAAAGGATTGTGATTGCAATTTATGTAGCAAATTCTACTTTTCTTCCGCGGTGAGCAAGATTGGAAGGTTTGATGGGCTACATCTGATGTCCAAACAGTACACATTCAACTGAGTGAGGTGGATTGGCCTACTGTGAAGCTTAACTCTTGTATCTAGAAGCAGAATACGTTCCTTATTCATTGGGAACAGTAGTATGCGATCGGAATTTGAGCTTAAAACAGGTATGGTACTCTAAGGACTTTGGTTGAATATGCTTGACTTTTAGAAAGTTCAAGCGACAGGAGCGATTTGAGTAGGTCACAGTGTTGCTTGCCAATTTTGCCGTATCTTCTTGGTTTCCAATGATGATTTTCTTTATCTATACGAGCAATTTTCTCGAAAGAACCGCTTCCAGAGATCGAATGCCTTTTTTGGACGAAGATTCTCAAAACTCGGCGGTAATTGCCCATTTGCCATCGGAGTTTGACGTGGAGCTATCGCAGTCAATGTGAGTGTATTTTGCCTTCGCCTTCGTATGTGCCTTAATGTCCTGCTAACATGCGAGTTGGTCCTTATGATTGCTATAGCGCCAGCATATAATCACCATACTGATAATGTTAATAAGTATGTGACAGAGTTGGTAAGGCAACTACTCGGCTGGAAGGCTGTTGTGCAAATTACATTTTTTAAGTATTTGTGATGTTGCTTTCAGCTCTAACTGCCCTGCAAAAAACGATAAAGCTATGTCGGACGACACAATGGTGGTAGAGGATCAGATTGAGCGAGAGCAAGGCCTATTGTTGAAAGAAGCTGCACCGTCTGTATCTCCAATGGTAGATGTCAAAGCTGAAAAAGTTGTTGAGGAGAAGACTAGCTCGAGGAGGAAACCGAAGTTGAAACTAAATTTTGATCAGGTAGTTGGCAATTTTATTCCCATAGTAAGTCTTATCTAACAGTTGACAGTTGACGCACGCAGACGGCCTGCAGACAGTTTCTGTTATTCCACTGCATTCCAACATCGATCTCTTTGAATTGCCTTGTTTTCTAAACTCTCGAAATTAAGATCGGTGTTCGCGTCATTCTGATTCATAGAACTTCAGGTGGTCTTGACGTTCTATGAATCAGAGTGGTCTAGTTGAAGTACTGGTCTTGACGCTCCGTCTTCTTCCCTTTAAAAATAAGCAGCTGCAAATAAAGCTGGATCTTATAGGGACACGATTGCCTATTGCCTTAGTTGCACACTCTCCGACATGCTAAATAGCTAGTCTCTTCCAAACTATTTTTGGTTTATTTAAATTTTCCGTTTTTTCTAGATACAACACTGCGAAAATAGCTTATCCAGCCCTGTGTCCAATGTCGCCTCTCGAAACGAGAATTCTAACGAAGTTGAAATGGTAAAATGAATAACTTTCATAAGTATTTTCTACAAGAGGCAAATTAATTTCTCTTCAGTCGCGAAAATTGTCGGATTTGCAAACTGCTTGCTACAGCTCCATCGCCGATGAGGTTTCCAGTAGAGAGTCAACTGCACAGACCGTAGAGAATGACAGTGATGAGAACGTGGAGAACGATGCGCCCTTGGGGTGCCGTCGTTCAAGAAAAAAGGTGGAGTTATACTATTTCAAAAGTGGTCGGCTGTTTCTTTTCTTCTATTTTGAGAATATAATCATCTGGTGAACCGTCTCACGAAAATTGTCTTCGTTATCATTACTCTTAAAGAGTTTTTTTTCCAAAAGTTCGACCAGGTTCTGCGTCCTCGATTTTTGTCTTTTCTAAGAACGTTGTCTTTTGCAAAAAAGCGATGTAGGTAGCGACCTCCACTTCCATTTTCGCATGACGCATGATGTCTCGAGAGCAGCACTAAATGTGTTAGCGACCTGGTTTCGCCCTGTTGAGCCCCTATTGAATTGTTGACGAAAACTTCCTTATAGAATGATGGAAATATGGTTTGAAGTTGTAGTGCTCGCGAGCATTCTTGTACCTTGAGTAGGAACACCCTGATTGCCAAAGGGTTCAATAACCGATACCTCAATAAACCTTGTGACAGTAAAGAGGAGATCAATTCTTCGAAACCCTGATTGCTCGCATGGCTGCCTTCATCTGATATTCCGCCCATCCTGTTGAGTGACTCGATTGAAAAGCTTAGAGAATAGAAAAATAAGTCAGATGGTAGGATGGGCGGCAGTTGTTAACATTAGTATGGATCTCCCTTCTCATAGTGCAACACAGTCTTGCTAGTTTTCTACGACGTAGGCACCTCGCGCTTCGACAGCTATCACGACTGAGCCGGTGTTGGGCTCTTCCCACGGTACCTCTCGGAATGCATAGTGCCTTATTTGGTCTTGCATTGGCCATCAAAAATTTCACTGCTGTCTTTCCAGAGCAATCCGTCCAAATACGTGGCCCAGAAAAGAAGGGAATCCATAAAGATTACTGAGAAGGAGAAAAGAACATTGCAGTCACCAAGTACAAAGATAAAGGAATCCTCTGGCAAGGTGGTCGATGAGGTTGTGATTCCTCTAATGTTGTCTCATTTTCAGTCGATTTTCGTTGAAGCCAACTTTCAAACTTCCAGGAAATACCGAAGGAATTGTCGGCTCCAAAGACGCCACCTCCACTCAGTCAAGAAGAGATTGCTCAGCAAAATAATGAAACTCCTATTTTACGGGAAATAGACGAAGTTTTGAATGTCATCGATTCGAAAAGAAGAAGTGCAGATGGAAGCTCAGACGAAAAAAATCTGGAAACAGCCGTCACTGAGACACCAGAAAAACAGAATACGGAAACAGAGTACGACTGGAATTAATGTCGGTAAAGGCTATTTTCTCGTTCGAAACAAGGTGTTCTAGGAAAATCGCTGCTACACCCATTCATACTTTGGTTCAAAAAATTTCCGGAACACCTGGGATATTGAAGAAGGTGGATAGCCCCTCTACAGCTGAGAAGAAGGTGAGCACTGAGCTGAAAAGCTTTTCGATATAGAACCTAGTTGTAGTGCGTATTTCCACTTAAACTGTTGCGTGTGGTGAGATTTCCTCTATTTCCAGCTTCGAAGAGTACATTTTGGAGATGCCCTGGAGAATAATGAACCTCATGCTGTTAATGATGATCCTGTCAAAGTGATCGCATTAGATGATCATATTCCTGTATCCCCGAAGGGAGTGATGAAGAAACCCACACCAAGGCGACCATTTTTCCATCTTCAGACGACATTTGAACAGGTATGGTGGGTAGCAGGACATTGATTAGGGGGGGGGGGGGGGGGGGGGGGGGAGCTGTCACCAGCGTGTTGCCCTTGCTGATGCATTTCCGTACTGAATGAAACAATTCTTTGCTTAGAACATATCTTATCGTTAAAGATGATACATAGCGAAAACGAAATCATGAGTAATGAAATGGGAATGTCTGATAGGGAGTCTCTGAACAATGTCCATTGCATCCTCTTTCTCATAGCAAAATCTCTTTTTCACTGCAATATACTGAAAATTTTAAACAAGTTTTTTTTGCATTTTTAAGCGGTTGTGACTTTCGCGAGTTTCAGGAAATTTGGGCCCCTTAAAAAGAATCTGGGCAAATGAAGAGATTATCTTGCCAAACACACAAACAACAATTCTTACTCTCATAATTCTTTCCCATCGTATAATTCCCTTGGTTGCAGTTAGGTTTCGCTGTTCACTCGAACATTGTATTGTAATGATTAAGGTTTCGAAGGTAGCCGCTTTACCCAATGAAAGCATCGCCGCTTCTCCAGTCAAAAGCGAAGCGGACTCTGCTAGCTCCGCTGATGACGAGCCAATATTCCCTCGTCTTGCAGACTGCCAGGAGTCTATAGGAAGAATAGTTGGAAGACTTCTATCTATATCATCTACTAGCAGGTTAGTTTGTTTACGCAAGTAGCACTGGATCTCAGTTCAAAGCATCAAAACGCTTTATTGCTGAGTGAGAGCTGGAAAACTCTTGTGGCATTGCTTTATACCACAAGCTTATTACCTTTCAGTGCGATAGCGGCGCGTAAATCACTAGAAGCGCAAGGCATCGTCAAGATTTGTGATCTTGCTTCTAAGTCCCGTCGTGAAGTGTCTTTGTTGAACATCAAGAAACCACGGATCGAAACAGCGTTTCGAACACTGTCGCAATTCGCTCGTGAGCATCTGAAGTCTGATACAACGCCCACGCTTGTTCAAGTGAGCTTTTACGGTCATTCAAATCCGCCATGTATATATTCGCAACATAGTTGTGAAACTACCCGAAACTAGTACTTGTGATGGTCTATTAAGACGAATTATTTTAGGATTCACTTTCAAAGCAGGAGTCTTTGACGGAACCCGTGGAGGTGCAGGAGGATGTTGATCTAGAATTTCTTCGACAGAACTCCACGGTACCCGCTGCATCAACAACTGTCGCTATTCCCGAAAACAGTGAGGGTGAGTGATGTGGCAACAGTGCCCACATCTATTAGTGCTTAGTTGTTTGTGATTCGCTTGTTTTTTAGCGGAGCTGCATATTGCTGAAAGTGATGGAGTCGAGGCGATTGAACGTCCTCCTCTTGCACCCGAGTATTCCACGGAGAATGGGATGGATATCGACATGAGGGAAGTTGAAGCTGAGAATATCGAGGAACCAATAATCGACGAGAGGAAGACCTTGTTTGATGCTGGTATGTTTGAGTGTATTCCGTTCTGCGCTCCCTCCTATCATTAAATCTATAAATTGGTGTTTCGCTTTGGAGCTATGGTGGTCAGAGACTAACATGGCTTGCAAGCGAAAACCGATCTATAGTGTCTCACAATGTGAGCGAGTTACGGACAGAACTTCGGCCACCGAGATGAAACTCAAACGTACTTGTGCTGGCCCGGTAGCGTGCTCTCTACCCTTGCACCATCGAGATTCCGCTGGCTCTCGCCTTCTTCATGGCTTATATGCCATAGCTTATCAACAATCATACGTACAACGTATTGATTTCTACTGTATCAATCAGCTCAGATGCTGTAGACACATCCTCAGTTCTTATGAACAAGCGGTATTGAACAGGGAGGGGTCACCGCTAATATTGATGAACCTGCATAAAAAGGAATCTTCTGCTTGCGAAATGTTTTTTTTTAAATAAAAATTCTAGGAAAAAATAAAATGGACCTCACTTAATCACCTGCGATTAATTAGTATGTGTACATTACTGCTATATGAGTTATTTTGACAATGGAAGGAAGTATTGGACAGTTTTGCATTGCTATAGTCAGTTCTTTGCAAAACTACAACAAGAGGAATATCGTTCTTTCTCAGCCGCTCCTGTTGTGGTGATCTCGTACAACCTTTGCTTCCACTGTTTTAAGCGAGTGTCATTTTTCTCGAGCTTGACGGATTTCCTCGTTTTCTTCGCCACCGATGCACTGTTCTCTACCAGTTTTTCCGGTTTTTAATTTAAAAAGGGTACCTCAAAATTATCGTGGATTTAGATGTTAAGGGAGGCGTCGAGCCGTCACACTCGTTTCTCCTAAGGAAAATTCCCGACGTGGTGAAATTGTTCTTGCACGGCATTGCAGCAGTGTCAAAGAAGAATTCGGCTTCTACTTCACCTCATTGATTTCAGTGAGAGAAGCTTATGGCCGTGTCGAGGCTGAGATGGAGAAAGATGGAGCTACTGCTGATCTTGTGAGGCTAAGGCGTACAGCGTCAAAAGCAGCTCGTGCTCTCCTTGACATTGTTACATGGTGCGATGACTCTAGTTCTTAAAGTAAGAAATATTTTCGTTGTCAGAAATGAAGGAACATGATTCAACTAGTTGCCCATATTATGAATTTCGTACAAGTAACTGTTGTGAATCTCTTTGGCCCCTTTCATATCTACTATGACCTGCCGACTTTTTGACTGGTCCTTTAATAATTGGTCTGATTACTTGATAATCCAGTGAAAATGATCGAGGCTTTTGTTTTCATTGTAACTTTGAAAATTTGACTTCGTTCAGTGCCTTTGTATCGTTAGTGTGTTTGATCTTGAATATAACTTGCTTTAACTAACCTTTTCTCGAAACTAATCAGGTAGATTATGAACTTCCTCAGTGTCAGCTCTGTTGTAGACGGTAATATCCACAGGATCTTGCTACAGTTTTTTTTTTTCGAGGTAACACTAATCATATAGTTCGAAAAGTCATACTTTTTGTCATATTGTTATACATTCTGATGCAGCTGCAAGCTCTTTCTGATAAATTTTTTCACAGTTTACTTCCACTGTAATGCTAGAGAAATAGGTGATGCTCATTCAGTGGATGTTCTTCAGCTGGTTCAACATGGGCATCGCAAGCGTGCTCCATGGAGTCAGGCGTATTTCCACGTAGTCGTTCAAGAATGACTTGAAATCTTGCCAAAAGCATTCATACGCTTATGGAAAATTCCCTGGATGAAATAATATGTTAGATGTTGAATGGCCTAAATCAAAGTTTTCCATCTCTTTCAGGTAGTTCCTAGCAGTTTCTATGATGAACCAATATGCATGTCAAATCTCCTCCTTGGTATTAGTGGAAGACGCTCCTGCGATAAAATCCTCGGATGAAATCCAATAATGTCCTTGAATCACCATTTGAAATCAAGTGATTAATCGAATTTGTTTTTTCAAACAAGGGTTTGATTTTTTTAACGCTGCTTTTTAACTGCTGGATTGTATGAGAGACGCGTTTTTTGTGAGAGAGGACCACCACACGTGGTTGATGAGAATTAGAGATATTCTTCAATCATAACCTTCGGAACTTGAAAAAATAGGCTTCACTCAGGTAATGGAGACTTCGACCACCGGAATGGCTCTGTGAAAAGTGCAGTGCTCAAAGAACCGCGGGTGTTTGGAACCTTCACCATCGAAGAAGGTTGTTGTCGCGCCTCACTGTAGATGGGCTCACCGTAGATGGGCATCGGGATTCGCCGCGCTCAAGAGCGGCGTCGCAGTCGAAGTGAGGGTTCGATCGGGGTCTTACGGTGCGCTCGCTCTCTCCCTTACCAAATGGGATGTTGCTTTGGCACTTTCAGTCCCTACGCTGGTCCCACATCCAACCATCGCCCCAGGCGAGCTACGTTCTACAACATGGTTCAACCTACGCACAGCCCAACTACATCTATCAAACCAGATGCAACATTCCATGTGAACCATCTACGATATTACGCTTCCAACACAGTCGCTATGCAGTTGGTCAGATTGCATCACATCTTCGTCCTCGCGCAAGTTCGACGGCAGGAAGGTGGAGCAGTAGCAGCCGGATACTAGGACAATACGCAGACACACTGACGGATGTTTAGGCCAGAGCTCGCGTCTACTAAAGCAGCCGCGCAGGTGCCCATACGCTGCGCACGCCGGGTCCCCTGCGAGCTCTACCAAGGGTCGTAAGGTGCGCTCCCTGGAATAGGGAAGGGTCCCCTTCCCGGTAAGGTATGCTCTCGGGGAGAGCAGAGAGAGAGACCCGAATCGGGGCGTCCCAGCCCCGAACAGGAGAGCATACCTTACGGCCCCAGGCGTGGTTATATGAGGGGGGACGGTCACCTCGTGCGTCCAAAGATGCGCGCGGGAACTTGCGCGGCGAAGTTCGTGGCGATTTGTACGGTTCTGACGTCAATTTTCGGGGCACAAACTCGAGGTAGAGTAGTTTAGTAGGGTCAGATGATCCTTCTGATCTACTCTACTACACATTTGGGCCCCAATGATAAGCGCTAAAGTCGTTCAAATCGTTACGAACTTCGCCGGGCAATGTGCCGCGCGGTATGCTCGGACGCACGAGGTAACACATACCTCCTATGAGAAGTCAGGCGGAAGCCGCGTCAGTTGAACAAAAGGAAAAATTCTTCAGAGCGAAGGTGTCAATGATATGGAAACTACTATAGAGAGGGTGTGACCACAGCTGGTTAGTCTCAGAACAAAAAGACGCAATGTAATGGCGTGCACAAAGTTTTCCAGCTCCATTACTCCTTCCAGTAACCACTTTAGAATCACTGAACCACCTGTACATCTTCTGCCGTACATGTTCGAAAGACAATGCTTGCTTCATTACTTCTCAGATCTCAATACTATTTTTCAAACAACTGAGATTTGATTCCTTTTGTTTCAAGCTCGTTGAAACAAAAGGTAATTCAAAAGAAACCATGTGCAACTTTCAGTAAATCCTGGCAATGATATACCGTTTTCTTGTAAAGATAGATCCCAGATAGTCTTGGCTTTCAGGCTCTGACGAAGGTCGAAAGTCGTACTCATTTGCCAGCATATTTTCGCTTTCTTGCCTTTGATTGTCTTTCACAATGATAATTGCCTTTGATCATAAACTTATGAAATCTATCGTGCGCTTTCTACAGAGAAGTTATGATGATATTGGGGATGGTGAATTAATGTCAAAGTGCAAGTACAAGGCAATGTTTCATATTGTTAACAAAGTGTGTGCAAATGTCAGAAACCACGTTTATTGAAATGATCATGTCGTGTAGTCGTTCAACACTGTGCCGTGACATTAATCCAATTGTCCAGTTGTTGCAGATTTCTTCAGAACTGGCTTCCTCTACCCAACTGTAACAAATCGACCTTGGGATGGCACTGAAAAATTCGAAATCACAGGGCAATGCGTAGATTCCGTTGAATCATGGGATTGTTTTTGCTATACGTTGCTCTTTCAAGCCACGAGCCAGACTCATATGTACTATCCGTACTGTTACCATTCACTATTCCTTGCGCATTTTTGAACGCGTCACAAGAAAGCTGAGAAAAATTTGTAGTCTATTTGGTTGACACATTGAACCTTCTTTCTTGTGTCCGATCTTTTCAAACCTTTCAAACCCATACATCAATTTGGTGGTTACGTGACAGTGTGGGCAGCCGTCGCCCCACCAAGACGCTCATTCACTACAGTTTCCCTCTTCATTACAAATCAAGCTAGAAAGCGATACAAGCCCTCGTCAATATCATAAGAGTATATGGAGGAGGTACACAGTTGGCTCTAACCATTACATCATTACATGGAAGCTGAAGAAACGGCAATTTCCAGAATCAAGAACAATGGGTGCCCAAAAGGATGTTACCCGCGAGCCAGAGAGAAGGACAATCACATGTCTTCTTCTTTTATCTGTACAAGAAATACTCAACTTCCCCAATAACCACACTGTAATTAAGAAGTGGTCGTGAACGGAAACGAATGGAGACAGACAATTGATTTAGATGAGGAGCTCTGACCGGAACTCCGACTCCCAGGTCTGTGTTCGTTAACCTTGAATGCTCAGGGCTCATATGGAACGTGCGTATAGACAGCTGTCTAAAATATTCCCTCACCACGACAACTCAATCTGCACACGGTGAACGTATCGCTAAGCTTCAGAGGAGCGCTGGCGTCGTCAAAAGATGACAGCGCTCCTCTCAAGCTCACTGAAGCTTTGCATCTATTTTTGTAATATTCACAACCTAAGGTCATTAGAAAAATTACTAAAGACCGTATGTGAAGAGTTAATAATCGAGCACGGTGCCCGAGAGCACAAACTGCTCACCCGCCATCATAATGCGGTTTTGACAGCGAAAGTGACCATCACGTTATGCACCACGATCCATGAGTGATGTAATGTTACCTATGCCCTTACCAAAATGATCTCTCCATTAGAACATGCATTGCCCTCTAGCTTACACAAGAGAGCTCCTTTACGACTGGCTCTATAGCTTCTTCCACAATGGTAGGGCACAAAACAATAAACAAGCCTACAAACAAAAAAATTTACCAGTTGTGACCGTTTGTTTGGGCGACGAAAGAATCATCTTCTTGAAAGTGACGAAATGAAGAAATTTCTGTCTTACTGTTCTGGAAAAGGAAGTGTGTTTCACAGGAATGTTTGAAAAAGATGCGTATAAAGTACAGTGTATGTAATCAAGAAGAAAAATGGTTTACCTATTCAGCACTATAAGAAGTATTGGATTCAGGTAGGAGAACAAAATCCATATGCAGTTGATTATACAATGATGATAATTTTCCGTAAATCCAAACAGTTCTGAAATTAGTATTTTGATTTAATGCATAGTAATCCAGTGATGAGAAGGTTCTCCCTGATTCAGTCGTACTCATTCACAAGCCACATTTAGAATTGTCCACCACATTTCTGTTCTGAGGGTTAATTGACCTCCAGCTTTGAATGTTTCCTCTACATTGAGAGCAGACGAAAAAGAGCCTCACCTGAAGCATGAAAGCAGGTCATCAACCCAAGAATATATCCATTTAGGAGTGTTGCGTGGCAGAATATAAGAAATTCATGTCGATGTGATCGCGTCGAGCTCACATGTCTTTTGCTCTGAAATACCAGGATTCATTGGGTACGACAAAATTCCGACTGTTCCGTTCTATACAGGAAGATGGATTTGCCCAGAAACAGAGTCGCAGAAAAAGAAGCTTGAGTTTTCAAACAGCCTTTTCTATCTATCTAGTACCTGATGCGCTTTTTCTGAGTTCTACAAAGTACGATCAAATCTACACTGCTTTGCATAATTATAAAGCCACCCATAAATTTCACGAAAACTCACGTTCCAGGGAACTTCAGGGAGAGGCTTTACATGGGAAATGCGCCCTTCTCGGACCGTTACTTGTAGACCCACGACGATCTCCAACTCAATAACACTGACGATTTCCTTTCATTCGGAAAGGGTCACTTTGTCTATTTTGCAGAATGATAAAGCCATTGACCGAATCATTTATTCAATGACAACAAAGAGAGGACGTTGCAATGATTAGATATCAATTGAGCCCCCATTCTTTTGAATTTTTTTCAGAATTACGATTGTCTAAGCAAAAGTAAAGGCTATCAATGAGTTCCTGGTCATCTTGGTGCACCAACCGTTGACTATTGCCTTCTTCAGCTCACTGACACCTCCAACTGCTTGTTTCCTTCATAAATCTCCCCTATTATAAAAACACATACGTTTCCCGTTGGATTCAAATCCAAGCTGTTTGCCAGCCAGGGCAAAAGCTCGATTCGATGCCGTCTAAACCGGGCCTGGATGCTCCATCTGACATTAATCGGGACGTTATTCTGCATGAATACGAGCTTCTTCTGCCAATTCTAACACCAATAAGGAAGAAGAGCAGACACCATTAGAGGAAGAGCATGTGGCATTGTACTCGATAACGAGAAGAGCTGAGTTTCTTCGGAACAAACCATAAATGAAGTTATTAGCAAGAAGAAGCTGTCGCCCGTACCATGACTCCTCCTTCCTTGAAATTTCGTTTGGAAAAAAAGAAGCTTATCCTTTCTCGGATCGTGCCAATAGAAGCGGCTTCTACCTGGTGCAACACAGTTAAACTTTTTTCATTGAATAAAGAAGCTGGAGAACCAAACATCAAGAGAAAGAAGAGTAAACGAGAAGCCATGAAAAGGCGGTTCGGATGCAATCCTAGCAAAAGTGACCCGGTTATCGTGATGTTTTTTGGTCATGTAGAACGCCTTCCTCATTTCCCATAAGCGATAAGTCAGACTTTGTTTCTCACGTTGCGAACAGTAGTCATTGGGACATTCAGCTTCGGAGAGGATTTGTTTTCCTTACATGACTTCGACGTATTCGACTCTTCTCTCAAAAACGTTCGCTCATATCCATGCGAAAGTAACGAAAGATGTCTCACACTCCGCTTGGTTCCATACTCGTTAGCAGTCCTGACGAAACTGTGGACAAATGAGTGTCATCGGTCCAAATTTTGAGAGATTTTGCGATTTGGCAGTCCCTGTTCCTCTTTTGCAGGACTTTAACCGTTCTCGAAATCGATTGCAACGTTTCTCCACCCATCATTTGAAATTGGAAAACTTGAAACAAGTAAGCAATCGTGTGAGGTGAAAATGGAAAATTACGGGGAAGTATGAAATAACTTTATCATTTGCAATATAGGCGAAGAGACTTTTTGCGGAAAAATGAAGTGAAAATTGTCCATTTTATTGAGATGGAACTCGTCATTAATCTACAAGTTACGGTCCGAGTAGGGCACAATTTTCATATTGAGCCTTTTCCTGAAGTTCCCTGGAACGTGAGTTTTGGTGAGATTCATGGGTGGCCTTATGATTATACAAAGCAGTGTATGTTATAGCTCAGGCTGAGTGCTTTTTAAAGTCGAATGGAGATGGACAAAGGGGTCAGACTTGGCAGTTTATTGAGCGTACTTCGAAAATTTCGAGGTGTTTTCATCGCAGGTAGGAGTACCGCCAGCAGTGGTGTTTAAGAGTAGCACCAGAATTCCAGATAGAAAACTAAGTACAACTACGATCTAA